AGTTACATTAAAACCAAAATTATCTCTATAACTATAACTAAAATTAGTATAAACTTTAATTAAACTACGCTAGATAATACTACGCTAATGAAACTGCTAGACCAGAAACATATTTGATTCTTTTATTATAAACAAATAATATTCGTTTGACATACTAAAGTTTGAAACAACTTAATTGATTATTCTTCATGTACAATCACAACATGAACCACGAAAGTCAATTATGTCTATCCACTGCTAGTTTAGTTATCCACGGAAACAATATGAATTTAGCATGAACAGTTTAGTCGTAACAGTAAAACGTGATTATACCTATTCCGTGTCGAAATTAAGTTAAAATTCAATTGTCACGTTTCGAGTACAATTTATAGTCAGACGGAGCAGGCTACCAACAAGATACGCTATGAATTTGCCAGACATTTATTATCACACTCGTGTTATATATCTACTATTGCATTAAATGACACAAAGATAAGGACCTATCTCTGACATTGAGCGAACCCATAGATAAACGGCACTAATGTATGCCTACTCGCAACAAAATGTATGTGATTACAAAGATTGTAACAATCATGCGAAATTAAAAAGAATTTTTGAAAAGATTAACACACCATTAATGTGTGACGAGATAAAGTGTATGGCAACACTGATTATGTTAGGTGACATAATTAGGCAGAATGTTTTTTACCATAGTGACAGTGAATATTTCAGTTAGCATTTGTTATTAACTTCAAATTTTGTCATGAAAATGTAAAAATTAATGAAAAAACAGTTCTTGTTCAACAAATAAAAATTAGATATTCATTTACCATAGAGGCACGCGCGTGTTTAGTATATAAATTGATATACAAATATTACCGCAATAATATTTAAGAAGTAAAAATATGCAAAGGCACTTAGATTGTGAGAAAAAAAAATAATTAAATCTTGCAATGCTCAGGAAATCCGCCATGACGTTGCGTATAAAAACCTTTTTTGCCAATCATTTTAAGAGGGAACTCATGTTTTTACTTTGCTGGTGAATACATGAGTGATTCTTACAAACCTTATTCTTCATAAAGAGAAAATTAATTAGGTTCAACATTTAATTGTTTCAAATTGATAGGTTAGGTACGTTGGGTGTATATATTAAACGTTAAGGAGTACCAGGCGACGTCTATAATACAGTATACTTAAAAACATTATTATTTATAAACTTGGATAAATTAAGTTAAACATTTATTACAAATTTATAGGTTAGGTTTGTTAGAACATTTAGTTATACGAGAAGGACCCACGCGAAGCGAGGCGACCGACACCGAATTCAGTTACAACAAGATTTAATGAAGTATTTATTTTTCAGAAAATCTAAATATCTACGTATATTTTTATTTCGTCATTATTATTTCGGTAATGTGTCCCTTTCGATAAAAAATATTCGTGTGCGAAATGCGCGTGCACCTATTGTAAACAATTACCAAAATCTGTTCAAGCAAGTATCTTAAGGTATAGAATATTTTTTGTCTTTCCGTGTTAATGTAAGCAATTTTTTTTACCGATTCAATTCATCAACACACGTGATCATATTGATTTTTTGATAGCATGGATTAATCATATTACACATTTAATCAATAAGTACAAATTGTAAATGATGTTGCAATGTTACATGAAAAATGTCATAGAAATAAAAGGGTTTTTTACCAATGAAATTTCCGTTCTTCAGTACTGGCCATTGCGAACAAAAAAAAATGTTTTGTTTGGCTGTGAATTCTAAATTTAAAATAATTTTGTTTTAAAAAACATGAAAATTACATTCTTTTTACAAAATCAGTTTTTTGTTTATTGGTAAATTTAGTATTTTCATAATATTTCAACATTTTTTGTCAAAATGGATACTTTAAAAATTCGTGCGGCTAATTATGGAATATGAGTTATCTCGTAACATAAACAACGTTTACGGAGAGAACTGTAAAAACGAACACACAGCCGTTATTGGTCTACCCCAGTGATTCCCCACCTTTTTTTATACCATTTGTGCCCCACCTTAGCCTTTTCAAAAGACCTTACTAATACTTTTCCCAAAATTTGGACCACTTTTTAGCGGGTAAAAAATTCAATTCCTGAGAGGTAAAACAAGTTGAAGAGTTTTTTTTTTAATTTTTACAAAAAAGGCATCAATAAACTACCACAGCGTTGGTAAAGATGCATTAATTGCATGGCTTATACATATTACTTTGAATTACAGAAATAAAAAAGTACTTTAACTTATTTCAATCAAAATGGCAATTTTATAGGTAAATACTAATACCATTTCAATAGGGCTCGAACGCAAATATTTAAGATTCATGTCAAAGACTGGCAACGCATGCGACTCCTCTGGTGTTGCAAGTGTCCATAGGCGGTGCTGAACTTACCTTCAGGTAGCCCGCCTACTCGTTTGCCTGCCTGCTATTGAATATTAACTTCTAAACTAAATTTTTAAAAGAAATATTAATATGTGCAACATGTAATTGTAGTATTTAACTAAAACAACGACATCTAATACAAAACTTTACCATTCATTGCCCTTAATTCTTAAATATTACATTGAGGAAGTCCTAAAAATAAAAAAAATGAAACAAGACAACACAAATTACAGATGACTTTCAAAAAACTGCTTCTACTGCCTTCTATCAGCATTTTCATATAAATTATTATATATCATATTCGCATTAAACCCAAATAGAATTGAATTTTTTCAGGGCCGAATCAAAATTAAACAAAAGAAATTGTTCACAAAGAGTATTAATATTCTTCCAATTCAATTTCGTAGTTTAAACAAAGAAATTGAATATTGAGAAAGCGCTACGAAATCCATTCGCAAAAAGGGGAATCCACAGAGTTCTGTAGAGAATATTGAATAATATATACAATTTACGATGATGATTGGAGGTTATGTAATCCCAGTGCGCTGCGCATACTGCAGATGGCGTATTTCGTTACACTTGCTTCGAAGTATGTACCGTACGGTACAAGTTACACAGTCTTATTTAGATGTCAGAAACATTTGAGGCCTCTGAGAATTACTTGGTTTATGTTAACTATGAAATTTATGTATTTTCACTAATAATATAGAGGCATCGTGTATAACTTTATCTCGCATATTTAGATGTTGGTTGAAAAAAACGTTCTTGAAACTAACATTTTTTAAATAACGGTCCATCATAATCCATAATCAAAAATAATTTGAACAAAAGTATTCAACACGAACATACGATGTCGCCAAATTCAGATCAGTGTTAACGACCTCGATGCCATATCGAGGCCATAATACGCTATGATTAAGCCAAATCAATGTATGCGTTTAATGAAATGGAAATGTTTTTGTTTTCGTTGAGTGGTAAACGAGTTGGAATAAACCTTATGAGTGGATATTAATATGCTGTGTCGGAAAACACGGTACAATATCAGTTTAAATCAGTTTTGCATAAATAAATTTTCCGTACATTTATTTTTAATATTCTCTTTTTTTTAATAATTAGTAGTAGTTGCTTTTTTTATGTGAGAAGGTGGCAGGCGAGCTGGCGGTCACCTGATGTTAAGTCATCACTGTTGTCCATGGATACCCGTAGGATGGCATATGTGTGCCACGTTTTATAAAACACTTCCACTTCACGCCTGATTCCGTGAGGTCGTGTTACTTACCCGGACAGACTTGCCCATTCGTGCAACAGCGAACACTGTTGCGTGGCCCTTAAAATTATTAAAAAAACATTAACAAAAAGTTAAATTTATTTTGTTAATGTCTGCTAAAGGTCTTTCTTTATTATCACCATTGTTAATATTGACATACACTTTTAAAATTGACGAAATAAAAAGATTCCCAAATTTTTAAAAATGCAACTCAAAAATATATTGCAGATTAAGAAGATTACCGGTTTCAGCAGTGCTAATATAGTTTATGAAGCCTCATCCGCAGAAAAAAGTACATCCATTAAACAATTGAAAGTTGTTATAAACAAAGCGTGCCGAATCAACAGACGTCAAAGAAGAGCTAGGTCAATTAAACGGCCATACAATTACGAGGGTTCAAAAATATTTTAGAATTTTTTATCGGCGAAGTAGGCAAACGAGAAGATAGATTACGTGGCGTTAAGAGATTACGCTAACCCCTGGACATCAATAATAGCTGTGAAGTAGTAGATGCATTGCTAAGTTTAAGAATGGCTCTCGGTTATCCAACTCACCACGAACTTAAAAATATAATTGTTTATAATATTAATTATAATTAATTATAATTATAATTATAGCATTAATAAATATTTAATGATTGAATACTCCTTAAGTTTTCTACAGCGCTGATAATATAATCATTCCATCTTTTACACTTTATTGCTTATTTGATCTTAATTTTGATATTTGCTATAACTCAATATTTTTATATACAAAGTGACGGAAAACAATTCTGTTACAGGTACATGCCGCCTTTCTTTAAAAAGGCCCTTTTCCCCCTTACGAAACAATTTATTATTGAAATTTTTGAGTAATTGATAACAACTTATAACTTAAATCCGATTTAAAATGTTATATTGAACACAAATATTATGTGCCCTTGTTATTTTATTATGGGCCACATAAAAAATTTAAACAATTACTGACGAGTTTAAGAAATAATGCAGAATCTGTAATTTATCCTGTTCACGCGGCGACAAGCGCAAACAAACTGTCACCATTTACATCATTTATAAGCCCGTTTATGATAGGAACGCTCCCAAGGGTCGGCTGTTACATTTCCTTGTACGAATTATCATGGAAACGTGAACGATTTCAAATAAATTTCTGTACTTGGATAAAGAAATGTTTTCCTAGAAGAGATTTAAATTCCTCCCTAAATGCCAATTTAGGTACTTAACAGCTTTATAGATCGTAAAGAATCTGTGACTCGCGCTCTCTCATTTAAGACGATGCGCGTAAACATTCGCGTGAAATTACTCACGTGCATCGGGAGAATGTTTATCTCCCTTTGGATTTTTGAAATTGTTATGCTCGGCGCGGTTGCAGTACGGGGGCCCAGTGGGTCGGCGGTGAACGCGAGCTCAGTAGCGTTCAGCCCCACTAGTTGCGAGGAATTCGGGCAAGGCGCTCGCTTCGCTCCCCACGATGTCGTCGACTCCCTGTGGAGGATATTTTACTTTTGGGCGGAGGGTATGGAAATTTCTACGATATTGTTCGCCCTGCCGTCGGTAAAGGTAATTAAATTTCGACTCTGCTCGGATATGTTCTACATGCGCAAACACAAAACTAATAAAAAGCGTTGTTCTATTTTATGCAAAGCAATAGTTACATAAAACTTTAAATTGAATTCAACGTTCAAAACGCAAAGATTTTGCGTTTTGAACGATGCGTATATATTCTTTCTGATTAATATTTATATATAACTTTAACCTTAAAATGACTTAGTCCTTGGTTGTGTATTCAATTCGCGATATAGTTCATAGATATGGCCTGAATCATTAACTTGCCAAATCTACTCATATTTATGCGATAGCCTTATACCTGTCAGCTTTAGAGACTTAATTAATACGATTGAACTAGCTGTAATTGAATTTGCTGCGGTGTGTTAAAAATTAAATAGTTTATAATTATTTGCATTTGCATAATTAAATACCTCGCATTATAAATTTCCTTTACTAGGGAACTTAAATTAAATGTACTTTCGGCAGAAATTATGAATGAACATTTGCAAAAAAAACATGCAATCTAAGGTAGCAAGTTGCCGTTAAGTATTTTTTATTTGGCCTTAATGGTATTCTGCGAGTTTATTAACAGTGACAACGCATCTCGGGCGGTAAAAATAAGTAACGATGATTCGTCGGTAACGGAAAAACATTTGTTATATAATTAAAATCCAAACTCTGTACCTTTTGACGTTAAATTAAATATTAGGTTTACGTTTTTTTTTATTCTTCTTCATCATTCTTCGTCATTCGAGTACAATCCAGATTTTCCTGCGATGCGTCATAATTCGTAATAATTGGTAATTCCGATCTATGTACTTGTTCTATGCACTCGTTCATATAGACTATAAACAATAAGTAATTTTGTAAAGGCACGCATGAGTTTACGTATGTACCTACCCAACACGGAGGGCCGTATCAGGCTCGTGGGTTTTGGCTAGTCCACGAATTCTGCGCTTCGATGAAGCTTTAATAGTCTACGGACTGAGAGCTAAAACTTCGATAAAATTAAATGTAAAGGTTATTTTGTAAAGGAATAGTTTATAGCTTTTGCACTGTTAAACTCACAAACGGATTCTTCTTTGCAAGTGATAGATACTTCAACTCTCTCGTGTAATTTTAGAAAGTGAACGATTTCAAGAATATAGTTAAGGCTGTAGTTCCAGACATTCAGGTTCAATGGGAAAATGCTGCAATATTTATGGAACCGCGACTGGGAGTTCGTGTCTTGCTTATGAACGTCGGTCACGATGGATCTTTTGTGGCGCTCGTCAAGATCGAACATTTGGATGCAGGTAAAATAATAAAGACCTGACGAACCGGATACTTGTGTACAAATAACGTGACTTTACAGTGATAGCAGCCTCATAATTACAAATACTATACAATTTATGGCAAACCGCTACTGTAAAGGTGTCGCACCAATATTACTCCCCTCTGGCTACTTTCCCGTGCGCCATTTCCGCCCCTAACTTCCACAACTTGGCTCATAATGATAATAAACTCGAAGCATTTTATATTTTGCTCTTTTTCTTGATGGTTTACTAATGAAGGTAACCGTTGTACTCATTAGCGCACCATCTATAAAATTCTTTAAGATATTTAAACACTGGTCTAGTTCTATACCATTTGTTTTAACAAAGAACTGTAGGTAGTTATCCTAATAAAAAACGAATTCAAAAAAGTGTTAAACGATATTGATGCGATAAATATTGAAATTGTGTATAGTTATGAATCACTTACAATTGTTTAACATCTAAATTTAAACGACGTGCTTGAAATTACTAGATATTTATTGTTCCCAGAGTCTTTCTCATTACCATCATCATTCAAAGTCCGCACTCAATTATAGCTCTAACAATAAATTTAAGTTAATTCAGTTTCTGTCTATGACGCGTAAATACATTTGTGGGAATAAATTAACTACAGTCGATTAACTACCGCAGCTACCAGACGTCGGGTAACGATTGCGAATGCCAGGAAATCACTCAGCGTGAACAACATTTATCGCCAACTGATATGGTTTCATTATTACAGACCGTTCGTTAAGGAGACCACACATACATCTAACAACAGTGCAAATGAAGATAGCGGGTCGCTACTTGGGTATCGTTAACTGCATCGATCATACTGCCTTTGCTTTGGCTAGGGTGGCCGAGATGCCACAGACGCAGAACGAATGTAATGCAGCAGCTGCTAGCTTGGGATTAGATACGCGGAGCGGGAAATCATATTTGTCTATGGAGAAAGCTCACGTGATTGATGAACTTTAAAACGTACTCACACATAATTATGTGGCACATAATTATTCGCACACATTACATTAATAAAAAACAAAAGCGATTTCAAAAATCTCACTCACTGTACACTTTCTAAGTACTTGATTTTGAGGAGTTCCCTTATGTAGTCCAAGTCCTGGAGTGTAAAGTTCCAATACCAGTGAAATTTATATGGGATCACATCTGAGCTAAACCGAACTCAATGATAAAAATTTATACAACTAAGAAATATAAAGAAATACCACCAAATTTAGAATCTCCTTTTGTTTTTACAATCAGTACAAAATGCTTGGACAAAATATTGTAAAAAGTATAAAATTATTTATAATGTCTTTGCGCATATACAATAAAATTTTCTTTATATTTATACGTAATTTTTTACTAAGTCTTCTAAGAGCGTATCACTGATTTCAGTTTGGCAAAACCGTCTATTATATTAGAGTTAGTAAGAGTGATCATATATAAAATAAATAACTTAGGTTTCCAGTAGCTTTGTAGTAACAAATTGAACGTAGATATAGTAAATCGATTTCCTTTGTACCTGTAAGTAAAACTTATGCTCTTTCTCTATCCGTTTCCATTTGCTGGCCTATGAGGTTTTTAGTAAATAATGTGACCAACAAAATATTGCATACTCCCGACGTAACAATAAATAAACCAAAGAGAAACAATAAACCCCATTTATTGGACTACAATTTTTCAAATTTTGTATACCGCTTTCACTATGTAATGCCAATAAAACCTCTTCAAACATGAGTACAATAGTGATTTTTATTTATCATATATTATATATTATATGTCAAGGATCTATCGTAATATGCTCAAATACATATGAACATTACTCATCCAATTTGGAAGTTTTAATGATCGCAATCATATACCAAATGTTGCAAAATACCGCATCGCATAAATGGCAATGGCTTGGCTGTTACCGGTCACAAAATACTCATGCAAAAATATTTCGTGTGGTTATTCTAACTGTGCATTTTGCTAATTGACAAAATATAATTTTCTAAAAACAGTTCATATTTAAATTTGTATACAATTTATTTATACAACATTTACAACATTAAATCTATCCATTTGTTATATATACAGCGTGTCTTTATAATCACGACAATAAATGAACTCACATACAGAGGATAACTTTTTAAAATTGTATTAAACATTTACATTCTTTAAACATCAATATTTACCGAGTTATTTAATTTTCCAAAACAATGAATTTTAGAACACCCTTACGTATAAAACTGTAACGTTAAGTTCATTTGTTATGGTCACAAAGCATATGAATGGGTTGAGTGAATTCAAAAGAGACAAAACATACTGTTAGAAGGAGAGGCTAGTAATGCGACACTGTGGCAACGAATGAAAAAGTCTCTGAATGTATGAATCAGTCAGTTGTAGTTGTATAGGATGTTATAAATTTTGTTTCTTTTTTACTTAATTAGTTTGTTTGAAAAAAGTATTTTTAATTATGGATTTTTATTAACGTTAATATTTTTTAATGATTATTGGCAAGTGGTAACGACACGCTGTATACAGGGAGTATTTTTTAGAAGTGCCCAAATTTACACAGGAGGTTCAGACTCGGTAGTATAATCGTTTATTAAAATAAAAAACAAACCTTTTTTCCAAAAAAAAAATGCGGAACCATAATGATTTGTCCTCATTATTACAAAAAACGAAAGTATATGTTACCTCCTACCTTACTACCTACTCCTTACTATACAAGTAAAATCATATTCTTTCTACACATACTCTTGTTTAACCATTCTAACAATTTGCCAGCGCGCAATATTTTGCGGAATTTAAAAGCCAATTTTGGTGAGCGTAATGACTGTAATGATTATGATAGATTTGAGATTGCTGTTTTAACGAACATTAAACGACCTATGATTCAATTTAAGCACACATTCCGATATTCATCAATTACGAATACCGCAAGCGAATATTCATGTAGTGAAATCCACAAGTTATCCGCAACAATATTTTCTCATATTTGTTTGCAAACTAAAAATTGTAAAATGGGAAGCAAGGTCCTTCTCAAGCTAAAATTTGAAGAACATTTATATACACAGGCACTTTTAAATGAATAGTCCCGCATGTAACAAACATCCCGTTTTTTTTGCACATATCGTGTTTGCTAAGCTTACATAAGAGCTAGGTGTGTACTCTTTTTTCGGTTAAAAAAAGGAGAGAATGTGCGCTTGTAAATTTTGATGGACTACATGTAAAGTAACTCTATATTTTCTCGCAATCCAATATTTAGAAGATATAAGTTATCTTTTAAATATGGCTTAAATAAGTTTGGCGACGTAGAATTAACACAGCGAAAAAATTGGAACAATAACGTATATTTGTACGTTCTTCCGTCGTCCATTATTGCTGATACAGCATTCGAGTTAATCCCTCTCGCTCCGCCCTTTACCGTTACTTTAAGAAAGAGAATCGGAATTAGGAAGGGGATAGGTAGTCGACACGCACAGGCAACCAGGACCGAGAACAATCTAATCTGCTGTCAATAAACATTTACTTTACGAGTGACCTAAATAATATGACATTGACTAATTAGAAAAGATTGAAAAGTAAATCATAGTATAAGCAAAATTAAATACCTAAAAAGTAATTATTATTAAGCTTCATGTATAAAGCTTTCAGTTAGTCTTAGATAAAAAAATATGAAAAAGGATCACGTTGTTTGCTTAACAAAAATTATAAAACATTTTAAATTACGTCATAGTAAATTAAAACTAATTTAAATCGCAATGAATTAAATTTATTTAGGTTTTTTTGTCATTTCTAAGTCTTCAATATACATAGAGGTACCTAATACGAAAACTACTACCTAATAAATACATATTGTATATCTTCAGTTGTTTGAAGGCAGTCTGAATTTCTGAAAAGTCACTTTCAACATTGATAGAAGTAATCAAGTTAAGATAATTAAGTCTCGAAGCATGAAGACGTTTTCACTACCTAAAAATTTATATTGATATCAGTGTTGCCAGTGATGACATACGGAACTAAGGCGTGGTGGTCCTTCACTGCTGACCGTATGCGGAAGCTCAAAGTCGCTCAGCGGGCTATGCTCGGTATTTATCTGCATGATAGAGTTCGCAACGAAGACGTCCGCAGTAGAACAAAGGTAAACGACATAGCTCAGAAGGTTAGTCAGCTGAGGTGGCGATGGCCTGTCCATATAACCCGTAGAACTGATAACCGCTGGGGAAGAAAGGTTCTCGAGTGGCAGCCTCGTACTGGTCTTCGCAGCGTAGGACGATCCCCCACCAGGTGGAGGGACGACCTGTGCAAGTGTGGGAAGTCGATGGATGCAGGTAGCTCAGGATTGTGCTTCGTGGCATTCTGTGGGGAACGCCTGTGTTCAGTAGTGGACTCAAACAGACAGAAATGATGAACGAGCTCTTTTTCGCTTTTATATAAAGGTTTGTGGTTTAAGACCATTATGTATATAACATAAGTTACCAGAAACCATGTACTAATCTAAACAAAGTTAATTCAAATGGAAGACAAAGTTATACATAAATTCAAGAAATGAAAATAACGCAGTCAGTCATGTTCACAAAAAAAGAAAAGCTCAGAGCTTTTTCGTGTTGTATCATTCATGAGTTTAGTAGTATTAGCCCAGGAATGCCGGACATAACTATCAATTTTTAAAAGTAGTTATGCGTGATATACGTATGCCCATAAACAACATCAAATCGATAATACTTTGATGGTTAAGTGATAGCTTAGCGTCACGAATTTATCCAAACAGATCCTCAAAGGACACATCAATTTAGATTGATAAAAATCCAAAGACACCCAATCTCACGTATCAAGGCAATTGAAACAATTTACTCGACACTCGACTGCATTTATTTAAAACTAAAAAACGAAATTGTGACAATAAATATTATTGAAACCTCACATATTCATCTATATTAGTTGTGAACATTTAGATCGATCTTGTGGCCGGCAAATATTTGTTGCACGCCAGACAATTTGCTGACATGTGTACGGTTTCCATGTAATATTGAGTATCTTATCACCACAAGGCTAAACTTTGCTATTATTATACATACTACAGGCAATACTGCACGTACTAAGCCTAGCCTCCCTTAAATAGAATTTAATAAAGTACATAATCCAAGATGAAAGAGAAACGAGAAAATTATAAAAAAGTATACACATAAAAACACAAAAGTAATGAATTAAAGAATTGTGAAACATGCTTACAAAAACAGAAAGAAGTGATAACGGCAAAACTGTTGCAATAAAATTTTATCTACACAAATTCACAATGCAGAAACTATCACTAGATTTCATAAAGTCAATCAAATAATTGATTTGAGCGGAGGAAGTTTTAACTTTCGCCATTGGTATGAAGGAGGATGTATAACAAGTCCATTTTTATTAACAAATACCAAAACTGACTTCAAATATCTCGCTCTGTATTAATTTTATAATTGATTTTAGGATTTCCCTGAAGTATCCCCGGAGCCCAAGATCCAATACTAATGAAATTAATATGGGACCACATGGGAGCTAAACCAAACCCAATCCAAAAAAAATAAAATCGGTTCATAAGTGAAGGAGTTCTGAGGTAACAACACACTTAAAAAAATACAAACGAATTAAAAACCTCCTCCTTTTTTGAAGTCGGTTGAAAATAAACAAATTGGAACACAACTCTATTGTGCCATAGCTTAACTTCTTATGTAATATATCACGAAAAAGGAATTTTCGGTACATTTAATAAGGTTATAGAGGAGTGTAGCTTTTTGCAATGTTTTAGGGTTTATTTTGGTAATTTAAAATTTTCAATTTGTGATTTTTTATATATACTATCCGAGGATTTTTAAACATTTCTCTTCTAAATCATTATTTTCTTTAGCGTTCAGTTCACAGAAAAATAATTTGATACATACAAATTATATATATATATATATATATATATATTCAGCGATTTTCATGAAAAATTATTTGCG